GTGCTAGTTTCAAATCCTTTTTAGTCTGAAATCTGTATGCTAGATATTGAGTAAGGTGGTTTTATTGTTTTTTGTCACTTTGAATAATATTTCTGTAAATGTTAAAAACAAAATCAACTCTCTGTATAAATATATCAGGTGACCGTTAAGGCCCATGGGCCTCTTGTTGTCAAACCAATCATCGATTACAATATTTGAAATAATTCCCACCACTATTAAAAGCTTGTTTTATGCTTATTGGCATATCTGTTACAATTTGTAGTAATTTGCAAAGTTTAAACTTAAGAAAAAATATTGCAATACAGCCATATTTCATCTCTGTATTGTGGTACGATACGATACACCTGTGTATTGTGATATACCTGTTTTCAGATATTTTGTGACAGCCCTAAACCATATTGATTCAACTTTTTGATTGCAATGTTATACAAAGATCATAACAGAATATTTCGAAAGATTCATGACAAGGAAAATTTCAGAAAAGTAAACATTTTTTTTTTAATACATATGATGTTTCGCTTTAAGGTGATGACAAGTATTTAAAATTGATATTTAAGATATTTTAGAAGTGAATAGCATGACCCATCATTTATTAGCCTTAAGCTTCCTAGTTACATGTTGTAAATCTGTAAAATCTTTGTGTGTGCTCTGCATGCTCGCTAAGGAAGTCACTTGTTACAGGAAGCTAACGAATGCCATCTTCTGCTTGCTTTATATGTCATTACAGTTGTAATTTGTTATGTTGTTCTTTTTGTTCCTTCTCTTTTAAATGTATGATACAGCCTGTGACACAAGACCAGGGTAGATGGCGTCGGATTGTTAGCTGGTTGAATAGAGAATCAGCGGAACAGAGCAAACCATAGAAGCACTTGTAGAAATATATACCTATGTTCTTTTAAGCATGAAAATGAATCAACATGAATTAAACATGAAAGTGTTTCAACATTTTCACGCAGTATATGTATCTGTCGATGAATTTGCTCAAGTGACCTATTCTAATCGCTTTTCGTCCGTTGTGCGTAAACTTTTACATTTTCAACTTCTTCTCAAGAACCAGTTGATGGATTTTTTTCAAACTTGGTCAGAATCATCCTTGGTAGATGAGGCTTCAAAATTGTAAAATTGGGATTCCTACCCCAACCCCTGGGGCCAGGGCGGGGCCCCAAAGGGAAAATTAATCAATATTTCAAAAATCTTCTTCTCCAGACTCAGAGGTACTACAGTGATTTTCTCTATGTGGAAAGAAAGATCATCAGGGGCTTTACTTAAATTGTAAATTTCAGGACCCCCGAGCTATCCGTTCTCCCTTGGGGAGGGGGTAAAGTTTACTATAGTTTATATAGGGAAATAACACTTTTGGGTATATTTTGACAACTTTCTGTAGGAAATTATTTTTACTTGGTGAGAATTATCCTTGGAGGTAGATGGTTTCAAATTGTAAAATTGAGATTCCTACCCCGACCCCTGGGGCCAGGGCGGGGCCCCAAAGGGAAAATTAA